ACGATGAAAATGTTGAGTGGCTCTCATATGAATAATTGTTGAACTAATAAGTGCACAGTTTACCCTGTCTTCTCCTGTTGAATAAAATGTCTTGCAGATCCCATCTTAGTCCATGGCACTCTTGCACTATTATTACTTTTATATCGTTCGGTCGTGCAAGTGAAGGTAATAATGACGACATCTGATGAACTGGTCATGGCAGGGAGAAACTGGTATGAACTCGACTTGTTCTGTTTTTGTAAATATGTTTAACCTAGTATCCATGATTCAGCCCATTATGATTAAACATGTTTGCAATGGCAATTAGAAATTATAGTTTCTCATGCCATGCATAAGTATCTGGGAGTTGATCATGATTTATCTTGAATATCAACATAGCGTTAAAATGATTGTGATGTAGTAATGATGATATGGTATCCTCCTCTGAATGTTTGAGTGGCTTGACTTGGCACATGTTCATGCATGTAGTTGAATCAAAACCAACATAGCCTCTACGATATTTATGTTCATGGTGTTCATATCCTACTCATGCTAGTGTCCAATGTTACTTATGCATAATGCATGGTTATGATCGTTGTTGCTCTCTAGCTGGCCGCTTCTCAATCTAAATTGCTAGCCTTCGCCCATACTAAGTGAGAACTCTACTTATACATCAAAAACCTTGAACCCAAAGTTATTCCAAATGAGTCCACCATACCTACCTATATGCGGCATTACCCTGCCATTCTAAGTAAATTTGCATGTGCCACCTCTAAAACTTCTTAAAATTATCCTTTTCGTGTGCCTGGATAGTTCATGGAACAACAGGAGGTGGTCGATATCTTCCATGCTAAGCGGGTTATTCTCAGGTCGAGTGTTTATTCACTTGCCATCGCACGAGAAAATGGGCGGTAATAGGGATTCCCAGTCCCGAACTAAAAAATGCAAACAATTAAACAAAACTCCCCCGAGACTGATGTTTGTATGGACAACACCCATTGTTTCGGACAAGCCGTGGAGTGTGATTGATGGTGGGGGGGGGGAGGAGTAAACCTTTACTTTTATCGCTTGGGAACCACCACTAGCGTGCTTAGCATGGAAGATATTGATAACTGATGGTCGTGAAGTGAATAAGAAGGATGCATGTCTTAAAATATCATTGATCTATATTTTAAAAATTGAGCTCTGGCACCTCTGCAAATCATTGTTTCCCTCTACGAAGGGACTATCTACTTACTTTTATGTTGTTTCACCATCTTCTAAAACAAGCACCAGAAAACTGAGTAGAGCACAGTTGTCATGATTTATGCATTATGTGTAGCTAATGTTGGGTGCATCATGACTGGATCTTTTCTACCATGAATTACAATGTTTAGTCGTTTCTTGAACTTTGGAGGTGCTCTGCATTTATGTTTTCCGGTCTCAGAAAGGGCTAGCAAGATACCACTATTGTCATATTATATCATGGTTGTTTTGCCAACATGTTGCTGTTTGAGATATTTTATTATTGATCGCTAGCTGATTATGTCATTGATATGAGTCATTATAATCTTTAAATGTTACTGTTGACATGGTTAGTTATAATGTTGGATGAAAACCTAGGTGTTGTTTAAGCTTATTTATGCAAACAAGAGCAAAAGAGTTCGTAAAAGTTTTTCTTTCTCACTTTTAGTTTATCAACTTAATTCCTTGAGGACAAGCAAAGGTTTAAGGTTTGGGGAGTTGATACATCTCCAATGTATCAACTTTTTCTCACGCTTTTCCTCTTGTTTTGGACTCTAATTTGCATAATTTGAATGAAACTAACCCCGGACAGACGATGTTTTCAATAGAACTACCATGGTGTTATTTTTGTGCAGAAATAAAAGTTCTCGGAATGGAACGAAACTTTGCGAGGATTTTTATATCAATAATAATAATTTCTGGAGCCAAGACCTGCAGGAGAGGCGCACCTGGGTGGGCACAACCCACCAGGGCGTGCCCCCTCTCCTAGCGCCGAGGTGGGTTGTACCCACCTGGTGGCCCCGCAGACGATCCCCTTGATACTATAAAATCACATATTTCCAGAAAAAATAAGGGAGAAAGAATTATCGTGATCCACGAGACGGAGCTGCCGCCAAGCCCTGTTCTTCCTCGGGAGGGCGGATCTGGAGTCCGTTTGGGGCTCCGGAGAGGGGGATCTTCGTTCTTCGTCATCACCAACCCATATCCATCACCAATTCCATGATGCTCCCCACCGGGAATGACTCATTCCTTCGCAGGCTCGCTGGTCGGTGAGGAGTTGGATGAGATTCACCATGTAATCGAGTTATTTTGTTAGGGCCAGATCCCTATTATCCACTATGTTCTTAGATTGATGTTGCTATGACTTTGCTATGCTTAATGCTTGTCACTTTGGACCGGGGTGCCATGAACTCAGATCTGAACCGTTTATGAATTCATCATTATATCCCCACGCAACGGCGTGCAAGTCTCCTAGTAGAGCTTGCACACCTCCGCCTTGACGTACGGCCGCGGTGAGGTGGGGCCCCGCCCGGCGTGATATGAAACACGGACGGTGGAGGCGGGGTGGGGGAGCGGCGACAGCAACCGGACGACGGCCCAACCTCGTGGTCGTGCCTCGTATTGCGCCCGGGGAACCATCGCCCCACCATTGTCGCCGATGGAGAGGTGGATGGGGGCTAGGGTTTGCTTGTGTCGGGGCTCGAGGAGGCGAGACGGCCATGAAGTGGAAACTGTGGATTGGCCGGTCCACGACTTCCAATTTAAGAAGGACGACGACCCTTTGCCGTGTGAATGACAACCGGGGCCCGCCGTGCGTGCACATTGAATTTGGGCGGCGGAGGTAGGTGGACGACCGCCACGCGTCCCCAAGGCGGGCGCCCAGCAAGCGCGTGCCCGTCTATTCGACGTCTGTGTGGACGCAAACCGGGCGCATGTTTGCGCCAGAAATGGGGCGGGCCAGACACCAAACAGACAAATTTTGAGGATGCGGTCGCGCGTTGGGCCATGTCATCTGTCCATTTTTGCCCAAACGGAAGCGGGCGGACAGGATGGGGTCGCGCGTTGGAGTTGGCCTAAAGATTCTTCGGATCCTTCCTTGACGAGGACATCGGTTCTACGGTTGGGGATGGATTTAGAAACTAGTCTGTTCTAGAAAGGATGGCATGGCGAGAACGACATCGTCGTGGAGGACCTGTGTCCTCGTGCTCCGCCGTTGTGACGTTTGCTCCAGCGTCCACGCGGAGCTTGGGAGGTAGTCCAGGAGCGGACGCAGATTGTCGTCTGCACCAACGACATCTAGAAGACGAAACGTGTGCGCGATTCGTGGTTCATGGATGACAGGTATGATTTCCTACTTCGGCGTCTTAGTCGTGGTGGGGTGATAGATCTGGAGTTCGATGGCGTGTTCGGGTGTTGCCCCGGTCTGATTCGTTCAACGGTAAGGGCCCTCACTTTGGTGAGCCACCTTGGATATCCGCAAAGCTGCATATCAGTGATGGACCGACATGACAAAACTGAAAAGATAGTAGAACATCTATGAGCTTCATATCAACGAACGTCGCCTGCCTCCGACACCACCACACCAGACACCGAAGAAATAACGATTGATCACCTCCTCACCCGAGCTTGACGTGACTCCATCACTGATATAAGAAAAGGAGTAATTATTATGATGGAGCTGCTGTATTATCATGAAAAAAAAGGTAATTCCAGAAAGGAAATCAGGAAGTAAAATTTCAGATACAACTTCGAAAAATCAGAGGAAGAAAAAAATGGAAGAGAAGACGAACATGGTTTTGAGACCCGCTAATTTGATAAAGAAGCCATCTCGCAGAAGGGGCTAAAAACCCCAATCAGATCAGATGAGATGAGCCTCAACAGAGTGCCCGGCCGGGCTCCGTCCAATCCAGTGGGCCGCCGCTGCATGCATCCTCAAATCAAAATACTAAAAAAGAAGAAGTACTCCGTAGTAGACAATGCCCGTCAAAAAAAAGAAGAGAAGAAGTAGACAGTGACGATGATTAAAAATCTCCTTATTTTGCTGGCTAGGCTAGGAACTGGTGGTGGTGGTAGTAGGATCCAACCCAAAATACCAAGCAGCGTCGCTTGTCCCCTCGCGCCCCCGTTCCACGATTTAATGATTGGTTCCATGGGCATCAGCAGCTCAGGACCATCGCCTTCACCTCTCGATTGAAATGAAAACTTGGAAAATATCCCAGGTTCAGAAAAACAGGGCGCAAGCAGCCGTAAAACAATTTGTTTATCAGGCCCAAATTTCGCCATGTTTGTCTGTGCTACTAGCACAGCGTTTCTTTATGTTTGCGTCGTCGTCGGTCGCCATTCGCCCTTTTAACCCCGCCCTCGCCGAGCTCTCTCCGGTGCTTCTTCCTTCCTCCCTGGTTTCATGGCAGGAAAGGGTGAGGTGACGATGCCCATGGCCCGTCCAATTTGACCCATGCCATCCTGGACCTATATCATACACGCACACATACTCTACTAGTAGTACTCGTCTCCCACCACCAGTCTCCGTCCCACAACCTCAACCTCGTCGCGTCTTCTGCTTTTAGCTCGCCTGCGGCTGCGGTGGGAGCTTTTCGCTTTGGTTTAGGTGCTTCTTTCTTTCCCACTCCCCACTTTCTCCCCCCTCCCCCTCTCCCTCCTTCATTCGTGCGTTGTCACGCACACCAAAAGCTCCTGCCTTTGCCTTATCTCAGCACCACCCTGCTCGTAGTGGGATTTGGTGGGAGCTGCTCTGCGCTGCTCCGCTCAACCTACTTGCCTGCCTCCCTCGCCTCGCGCGCTTCTCTGCTCCCTCTCTTCGGGCCCTGCGTCACTCTCATCCCGTCACCGCACCGCACGAACGCACGCACGCGCGCGCGGCGCTCTTCTCTCCTCCTCCCGGCGGGCTCGGTATTCGGACGGTTTCTTGGTCTGCGGTTGGATTGGCTGGGCGCAGTTGCTTGGGCGCGGCGAGCGGCGACGGATCTTTGCGGAATTCCGGCGAGGGAGGACGGGAGATGAACTGCGGCCCGCCGGACCAGCTGCCGCCGGCCACGGCGGGCTTCCTCAACCTTAACTGGGACAGCTCCATGGACGCGGGGGGCCACCCCTCGCCGGCCTCCGGCTCCGCGGCGGCCACCGAGGGGCTGGCGCTCCACGGGATCTCGCCCCGGCCGCAGCACTACGGCGCCGGCACGCCGCTCGGCTCGCCCACCAAGCTCAACCTCTCCATGATGGGCCAGTACCGCCACCACAACCACCACTACCCGCCGCCGCAGGTGGGGGGCGCCGGCCTGCCCACCCTGGAGAACCTGATGCCCATGGGATCCCTGGACCAGTTCCTCGCCGACCCGGGCTTCGCCGAGCGCGCCGCCAGGCTCTCCGGCTTCGACGCCCGCGGCGGCTACGGCGGCGGCCCGGCGCAATTCGGCCTCCCGGACGACGGCCCCGTCGGCGCGCTCAAGGAGCTGGAACTCGGGAGTGCCCGGGACGACTCGTCGGTGTCCGATCCGGCGTCGGCCGGCGCGGGGATGGCGCTCAAGGGGGACTCCGACGGCAATGCGAGGAAGCGGAAGGCCGCCGGCGGCAGCAAGGGGAAGGGCAAGGACGCCTCCATGTCCACCACCTCCGCCAAGGATCTCCTCGCCAAGGTACGCCGCGCGCGAACAGAATTCCGCTCAGTTCAGTTCTCGAAGGAGCGAAACGTCGATGATCTCACCCGACGAGCACCACCGTCGTCGCCGTGCAGGAGGACTCGGCGTCGAAGCGCTGCAAGTCCACGTCCATGGAGGACGCCGAGGAGAATTCCGGGAAGGGGAAGGCCGCGCAGAGCAGCAGCGAGAACGGCGGCAAGAAGCAGGGCAAGGACGGCGCCTCCAAGCTCCCCGAGCCGCCCAAGGACTTCATCCACGTCCGGGCTCGGCGCGGCGAGGCCACAGACAGCCATAGCCTGGCCGAGAGGGTACAATTCTCGGCCTCTCGCTTGCATTGTGTGTGTGTGTGTGTGTGTGTGTGTGTGTGTGTGTGTGTTGGACTGATGATCATTTTCATGGTACAGTAGAATTCATTTCTCATGCTCTGCTTCCTCTTCTTCTTGCTCAGGTGAGAAGGGAGAAGATCAGCCAGCGGATGAAGCTGCTGCAGGACCTCGTGCCCGGCTGCAACAAGGTAACTAGTACGAGACTACGTACAATTCTGCACTCATCATTTCGCAATTGTTGTCACTTCATCGCTTGGTGTGCCCAGATTTGAGACCCGGGAAAATGTTGCCTGTTTCAGGTGGTGGGCAAGGCCGTCATGCTGGACGAGATCATAAACTACGTGCAGTCGCTGCAGCGGCAAGTCGAGGTACACAAATGCATACACACACGACTCGCCCATTGTCAACCAAAAACAGATGCAGAAATGATCATGAAACCCCACGAATTGCCATCTTGAACTTATGCCGTTCTTGTCAACTTTTGCTTGCAGTTTCTGTCCATGAAGCTGGCCACGGTGAACCCGCAGCTGGACTTCAACAACCTGCCCAGCCTCCTCGCCAAAGATGTGAGGACAAAGCATCTACCATATGCATGCATGCTCCCATTGCCGCATCCGGCACCTCCTCTCTGACTGATTTTGCTTCCGATGATCGCAGATGCAGCAGCAGTCATGTGGGCAGCTGCAGCAGGGCTCGTCGCATTTCCCGCTGGAGGCGTCTGGCGCGCCGCTCCCCTACATGGGCCAGGGGAACGGCGACCCTCTCGGCTGCGGCATGTCCGACGGCGGCATGGGCGACGATCAGGGCGCCATGCACCCGCTGGACCAGGCCTTCTGCCGGCCCATGGGTTCCTCACAGCAGCAGCAGCAGCACTTCCTCAGCGACGCCGCCTCTCAGGTATGTCCTGAGCTCGCGCCATGTTTCGTATGGAGCCTGCTGCCATTGTTCAGGATGATGAACGGCTTGTGATGGTTGCAAACGTGCAGGTTGGGGCTTTCTGGCAAGATCTGCAGAGCGTGGTTCAGATGGACATGGGGCAGAGCCAGGAGCTCGCCACCTCCTCCAACAGCTACGACGGTGAGTGCAAATCATCCGGTTTCAGTTTCAGCCTGAATTATGAACATTCACATCACTTTCGACCCGAGATTCGGATGCTAAATTTATTCTTGCTGTTTAGGTTCGTTGCAGACGGTCCACATGAAAATGGAGCTTTGACATCGTCACCGGGGAAGAAGCTCGATCCGACGGGAAGCCTCGACGCCACCGCTGTACATAGAGAGGAGAAGCAGAGCCTGAGAGTCAGTCAGCGAAGCTTGCCATTCGACCATCCATGGAAGCACTCTGAGATTCAACCTAACAGTGTTGGGCCCTTAGCAGTGTCTTAGCTTTCTAATTTCCACCAATCCATCCGTCAGTCCCTTCCGGTGTAATGATTCTTTTGAACAAGAAAGGGAACCCGGCCGTGCAACAGTAGTAGCTTAGGCTAGCTCTGCGTATCATCATCATCATCTCCTTTCTTCTTGTGCTAAGCTTCCAAGATCGATCGGTACATAGCGCGGCACCCTTCCTATCCATTCTCCCTCAAATGAGAGGGGATTGCATTGAAGATGTGTAATAGTATCATTTGTATTGCCATTATATATATATAATACGTATGTTTCTAGCCTATAATTATAAATACCATTATTAAGATGCTTGATTGTGTTGCCCTGCCCACTGTGAATGAATGATTGACATCTCACATCTGGGTTCCTGCATCAACCATGCTAATCTAATCACGCTGGCGATGATGGTGATGATGATGATGAGTGAACTAGTAGAACAAAACTGTTCTTCTCTGGTTGTGTTGCCACTTGGAGAAGGTGAGGGGCAAAGAGAGTGAGAGAAAGGACATGGACAGAAGGAACAAGCAAGCTGTTGATTTGGGATTTGTGGGTGCCTTTTTAGCTGTTGGAATCGGACGGATGAGCAGCCGGGCCCGCAGACAGGGACAGCACTGGCTCTGGCTAGCTGGCTGGGATGCCGATGAGGGCTCCGCCGTATCCGTAGGAGCCTCGCCCTCGCCGGCCCCATCACTACGAGCAAAGTAAAGACGGCGGACTGATCCTACCAAGGCGTACATCAGACAGGCAGCGCAGCGCCATTCACTGCGACTGCGCCTGCGTCTGCTCCTGTTCATCTGCGGCGCCGCGTCAGTTAAAAAGAGATCGCCACATTTATAAGGGACGCGGATCAGAGCAGATCAGATCAGTACTCTCGCTCTCTCTTTCTCTCTGACTCTCTCGTCGACGACGATGGCCAATGTATTTCGTTGTTAAAAACATCGCCGTCGACATCGGCGTGTCCAAATCATCCAGGCTGTGATCACGCACGCAGCTCAGAGACGGGATCTGTCTGTCTGTCCCGGACGGACGCTCCTTGTCAAACCATACCGTGTGCGCTGTGCTGTGGACTCCGGATCATGGCTAATCGGGACGCCGGATCTTGGAGGCGATGGCGGGAGCAGTGATCGCTGCTCGCTAATTACTCCGGGCACTGGCGCTGCGATGCGATGCAGGCGTACATGTCACTCTACGTCCAGATTTTTAGTAGCGATGCAAGAGCGAGACACAATTAATACCAGGAGAGAGCAGCACGATATGGTACAGGGTATGGTGCGTGCTCGTGGCTCATTCGGACGGGGAGCGAAAGGCAATGCGTGATCTCGCGGATTTGGCAAGGCTGCTGCTACTACTACTGCTACAACTACTCTGATGAATGGCGTGGCGAGGCACGCGTACTTCATTACCATTGCACGCCGGTCGGATTTGGCGCTGCGTGTGTGTGCTGCTCGTGATCATGAGTGAAGTGGGCACACTAGTAGTATATACTCATAGAGATGGATGTATCTAGAATTGTTTTTAGTTCTAGATACTCCCTCCGGTCCTTTTTACTCCCCGCATTAGATTTGTGTAAGTCGAAAATTGCAAAGTTTGATCAAATTTATCTTAAAAAACATTAATATCTACAATGCCAAATATATATACTATGAAACTACATTTGATAAAGAATCTAACAGTACCGGTTTGGCATTGGAAATGTCCATGTTTTTTTATAAGTTTGGTCAAAGTAGAGGTACTTTGACTTCGGAAAAAAGTTATATACAAACTAAAAATGACCGAAGGTAGTACATTCATTTCTTTCTATTTTTGCGGCAAGTAATCCGGGCGGACAGAGTACTTATCTTGGTTATTCGCCGTCCTATTCTTTTCCATTTGCAAGGGACGTGCATGCCGGATTGAAGCTGTGAGGCGTATAATGATGGCATATCAGCTTCGAGGCCAAAGGCTAGATAGAGTGCGTCACCTTCAGAGAAAAAGTTGTGGAGTAGAGAGAGGCAAGGCGGTGGCACGACCGCCACGGCAACAAGGTCAAACGTTTCGCTACCATCGGGTGGGGAGCTCCTCTTAATTTGGAGGACGATGGGCGTCGCTTGGTAATGATGCTAGCGCGGCTAGCCATGACAGAGCCGACGATAAGCTATGGCGACACGGCGACACCTTTGCCTGTTGCCGTCGGGCTGGTCATCGTGGGAGTAACTTAGCAGGTACAGGGGCGGGCCCAGAATTTGAAATGTGTGTATTCAAATTTTCAAAGGCTAATATTTTTCCCCCGAAAGTCTAGAGACTTGTTTTTGGGTGTATAATTGACTAGAGCATCATATTGTACATATTGTATAATCTATATAATAGTTTGAGCGTAATATGTAGATTCGTAAAATTGATCTTAACTTGAAATTATTCAACATATAGAAGTATTAATTGTTTAACATAGTGTGGCAACATCTAATATGTAAAGAGCATAGAAAGTAGTAAATGATAAGATAGCTTACAATTATAGGCCACCTTCAAAATGGGTGATGATGTCTTTCTCTTAACTGGCTAGAAGAATTCCCTTTCAATGTATGTAACCACCAAAATCACAATCATGAAATTGCAAAAAATATCAATTTATTATACTAGAGTAATTTATTTATTTTTTTGCGAGGTATACTAGAGTAATTATGATAGTTGAATATTTCATCCTTCTGAATCACTACAAACAAGTCTCAAAATTCAATATAGTTGTGCCAAAATAGGGAGTATCAACTCTCAAACAAGTCTAAGATTTCAAAATAGGAAGCCAATTAGAGAGATTAACTCGCCATGGGTACTGTTTATGAGCCAGAACTGAACATCGGGAGACTGAAAAATGATTCTCACGCTCATACTGCAGCTCTCTCGGACACTCGGATGCCTGCGCCATGCGGTCGTGCTGCCGTCCACGCCGCAACCGTCGTGCGTTGCTGGCTTGCCGCACGATCAACCATACCTCCTCGCGTGCGATCTGGATTTGGGATGTGACGCGTCGCGCCGCCGGTTCTATGATCGATTGACTTCTGCAGTTCTCTGGTTCATGCGAGCAATTAGGCCATCGGGCTGTGGCTATTTTGTACTGGGCCTGGAGATAATGGGCCATGTGCTATGTGTGGAGTGGCCCTTGTTTGGGGCTGAATGCGTGGACAATGTCACACGTTCTGTCATTTTCCCTTTTCTCTACACATGTATGTACTATACACCATCTATACATAGTTTTTTTTGCAAAAATAATGAAGTGGGCCCGCCCCTGAGCAGATAACATAGCACATCCTAAGACAAATTTGCTTATATGACAAAGAGAGGTGCTTGGAGTAACATAATATGTTACTCTAACATAACGCATCCCAAAGCAAAATGAGTATACAATGTAATAAATGCAATCATGTATGATACTACTTTTATGTATGTATGACACTAATCTAAATTACTCCCAACAATGACTAGCCTCATCCCTCCTCGGTTTTTGCTGCTGTCGTGCAACCATTGTAGCCAAGATCAAGTAGAAAGGGCGCCCTTGAATTACGTGATGAACGGTATAGACTGACCGTTCGAAAACAAGATACTACTCCAGTAGTAGTGTTTATATTAGGTCCTGGTTACGGTTGGACTCAGAGTTCACCGCGGAATTACCTCTTGTAGGATCGAAAGTATGTATAGAGTGGGGTGATTAGACTACTTGACCAATTAAAAATCTATCATTTTCTTAATTTTAGTTGTGGGCAGATTTTAGTAATTATGACAAGTCAAGCACTCAAACTACACATGCAATTCTAAGAGTATAGCAGCGGAAAGTAAAACATTGCATATGAAGGTAAAGGGAAGGGTTTGGAGAAGGCAAACGCAATGGAGACATGGAGATTTTTGGCGTGGTTCCGATAGGTGGTGTTATCGTACGTCTATGTTGATGGAGACTTCAACCCACGAAGGGTAACGGTTGCGCGAGTCCACGAAGGGCTCCACCCACGAAGAGTCCACGAAGAAGCAACCTTGTCTATGCCACCATGACCATCGCCCACGAAGGACTTGCCTCACTCGGGTAGATCTTCACGAAGTAGGCGATCTCCTTTCTCTTACAAACTTCTTGGTTCAACTTCATATCATGTCGAAGGCTCCCAAGCGACAGTTAACCAATCTAGGAGACACCCCTCTCCAAAAGGTAATAGACGGTGTGTTGATGATGAACTCCTTGCTCTTGTGCTTCAAATGATAGTCTCCCCAACACTCAACTCTCTCTCACAGATTTGGCTATGATGGAAAAAGGATTTGAGTGGAAAGCAACTTGGGGAAGACTAGACATCAAGATTCAAATGGTTGGAATGGATTCTCTTGATCTTAACACATGAGTAGGTGATTCTCTCTCAGAAAATGAATGGTGGAAGTATAGGCACGTTCTGATGGCTCTCTCCAATTATGAAGAGGGGTGGAGGGGTATATATATAGCCTCCACACAAAATTCAACCGTTACACATTTTTGGTCCATCTCGGTGGCACCGATTGTAAAACTCGGTGGCACCGATCAGTAAAAAAAATATGAACGTTAGGAATCTCGATGGGACCGACTGGAACAACTCGGTGGGACCGATGTGCTAGGGTGATGATTTCATGCACATTCAAAGCCCATATATATTGTACTAGAATTAATCGTTCAACTGTCGCTCTTTCAACATACTCTTTTTTTAGACCTTAACTGTTTTCAATCTTCATGTCTACTAGGCACTAACACATGGAGAAAAACATATAACAAATCGGTGGCGTAATAAGCACCGGGATTTTCTCAGTTCTCATGACATTCGTTTGAGGAGAATAAAGATGGAAGGATATGCATCCAACCAGGCAAACAGAAGTTTTGTCACATTCTTCCTGTTGAATGTGAGATTACTATTGTCCATGAGGTTTAAGTTTTTCAACAAGAAATTTCTGACGCAGGATATATTCAACAACAATAAAAGAAGTTTTAGGTGGACAAATGGGCTTCTGAACGTGCCCGGCTTCTATTTACAACAACTTGTGGTCATGTTTTAGTAATTTTTTTACCACATGATGTTGATTTTATGGATCAGACCGATCCATTCGTTTGTGACTGCC